AGGGGTTAGCAGGGCGCCGCGCCGGCAGGAGGGGGCTCGCGCCGTGCCGACGGCTGGCAAGCGTCCCACTCCCCAACACCAAGGCGGGAGGTGGGAGCTGGGTTGTGTCCAGAGAATGCTTTTGGAGAAGGAGCAGGACGGGGACCGAGGGAGCAGCCGCTTGGGACGTGCCGGGGACCATGGCCGACCCTGACACGCTGCTGGCGATGCCGGGGCTCTCCCAGCACGGAGAGCAGCTGCTCAGCTCCTGGCACTGGCCCCATGCCCTGCACGGTACCAGCACTGGTGCTGCGCTTGGCACCGCTGCAGGGGGAGGGACCCAAAGCATCGCCCGTGCACCGAGACCCAGGAGAGGGAGGGAACCCCGGAGCCCATGCGAGGGGCGCGGGGGATCTCTGGGGGGAGCCGACCCTGAGCCATGCAGGCTGGGGCCAAGCCAAGGCACACTCCTGCAGCCAAAGGCAGGCAGCGGGGAGAGCGATGGGCACGAGGCTCGCCTGGCCGGCACCGGAGCGCATGCCCTGGCATGCTCACAGCTGCCCCGGTGAGGAGGGACCCTGCCGCGGTCCCTGGCACGGCTGCAAAGGGTGCCCCGTGGCAAGGACCCTGGGGAGGCTGGGGAGCCTCTTTGCTTCTTTCCCCTTTAACTGCATGATGGTCTGAAGGGGCAGGGGGTGTTTTTGTTGTGCTGCCACTGCCTGTGCATTTTATGGCGGGGTTTGCTTGGGGTGGGGGGGACAGGGATGGAAACCTCAGAGGAGTCGGGGTTCTGCCCCAGGAAGTGCCGCTGGGACACAGGCGGCGGCTGGCGGGCAGAGTGCGGGCAGGGAGTACCTTCTATGATGAAAGTCCTGGACTTGGAGGAACTAAATGGGTCCCCTGGTGATAAAAGAGAGATTGAGAGAGCGCGGAGTCGGCTGCTGCCGGCGGAGCGGAGCGAGCAGCTCACTGGGATGGGGGCATCAACCCGCCGCCGTGCCACCAACCCGCCCCTGCTGCGGCCCTAGGGGGGGTCCCGGCCGCGGGCGGGGGGGGGGCGGGGGGCATCAACCCGCCCGCCGTGCCACAACCCGCCCCTGCTGCGGCCCTAGGGGGGTCCCGGCGCCGGGCTGGGGGCGGCAGAGGCTTAACCGTGGCATGGGCTGACCATGGCGGCGGAGGGGCTGTTTCTGCTCAGGAAAGGAAAACGCCCTTGAAATAAAAGCCTGGTGCAAACCAACCGTGACGGCGATGAAAGGCGGCGGGGAGGAGCACGGCACCACGGCGCGGCACCCACCTTCCATCGGCGTGTTGGGGTCGGGCCGGTTAGCGAACACCACGTCCACGTACTCCAGCTGCAGCCGCTCCAGCGACGCCTTCAGACCTGCCGCACCGATGGGACCGTCAGGCGTGCCAGGCTCTGTGCCACCAGCCGGTGAGGCAGCTGGTGCAGGCACAGCCTGGCGCCGAGGCCAGCAGCACCCGGCGAGCATCCCTACCTTCTATGATGTGCTTTCGGGACAGGCCCCTCTCCGTCTCGGCCCTGGAAAAGGAAAGGTGGGTGAAAGCCCGGTGCGCTCTGGCCACTCTTCCACGGGGCAGGTGCGCTACCTACTTTCCTCCCCAGAAGATTTTGGTGGTGATGACCAGGCTGGACCGTCTGCAGGGAGAAAGAGAGAGTCACCGACAGCGGCACTCACAAAGCCCCGCGTGCCCTGCCTGCTGCCTGCCTGCTCCCTGCCCACGCACATTCACGCCCAGGGCTGCTCTGCCAGCTTTCCCCAGCCCATCAGCACCACGGTGATGGCTTCGCCACACAGGAATGAAGTCGGCTTACCTCCACCCTTTCTTCTTGATGATGTTCCCCAGCACCACCTCGGCCCTACAAGGGAAGGGGATGTCAGCCACCAGTGCCCTGGCTGCTGTGGCCACAGGGAGCTGTGGCAGCCGGCAGGGACAGCCCTGGTCCCCGGAAGACTGAGGCAAACACGGTGGCCGTGGGGACACCGTTTCCCCCTACGGCTGCAGCGTGCAGAGCTGCACTGCTCCCTGACGCGTGAGCTTGCTATTTTTAAGTGGGCACATGGGCACACTGCGATGCCTCCAGGCCACTGTGCCCCAGGCGCAGTCACTTCTTGCCATGCTGGGGAGGGTGCACGGCTACGCCTGCGTGGTGCAGGCAGCCACAGGCAGCACGGGACCGCACGATCCATCACCTCCCCACAAGCAAGCACTTGCTGCCCTGTCCTTGCAGCCGCTTTGCAGCCAGCAAACCCGGGAGGCTCCCAGCGCTGCTGCAGCTCGGAGGTGCTGGAGGCCAGGGCGCAGGATGAGGCCCCTTGTACTGCTGCCGAAGCGGGGTACCTACTTGCCAGCAGCATAGACTTCTGCCGTGTCGAAGAGATTAATGCCGTTGTCGTAGGCTAAAGTCATCAGCTGCTCTGCCATCTGGAAGAGAAGAGCGGGGAGGGTTGGCGAAGGGGGTGGCTGAGAGCCGGAGCGCAGAGGCGCACACTCACGAGTGCTGGTGAGCTCTGGCACACCACAGGCTCTGAGACCAGCACCCGTAGCTGTGCTGTCCCCATCCGTTCCCCGCTTCACTCGGGAAAGGCCAGGGAGGGACGGGGCACGATCCTTACCTCATCTGTGATTTGCCCTCCGAAAGTCACCCACGTCCCTGCGGAGGAGAGAGGGTGCATGCACGGTGAGCATGGCGAGCACTGAACGCTGCCGCCCCAAGCCCCTGGCCATCCACCCCAGCTCTCCCAGCACAGCCCCGGCACATGGTGGCTGCAGTTGGCCCCGCCGTGTGTGGCACGGCGCTCCCAGCACAGCCCGGTCACTTCCTATCATGTCGGAGGAGAAAAAAAGAAAATAATTTGACAACTTCTGGGCTGCGTCTCAAAACCACCGCCGGGCCGGAGGAAAACCCTTTCCTTCCCTTCACAAAGCATTGCTGGAGCAGGCGAGCGCCGCCCTTGCCGGGGAGCACCGGCAGCAGCCGTGGGATGGAGGAGCCGCCGAGGGGACGTGGCAAACCCTGGCACTTACCCAGGCCCAGGCAGGACACGCGCAGCCCAGACTTCCCGAGGTTCCTGCAAGACAGAGACCTGTTAGGAAAGCTGCCAGAGAGCCCCAAGAGGCCATCTCATGCATCCACCTGCCAGTGAGTCGTGGTACCCAGTGCCGGTCCCCATCCCCATCCCTGGTCCCCATCTCCATCCCCATCCCCATCCTCATCCCCGACTGTGGACAGTCCCACAGCGAGGGTCCCCCCGCGACTGATTAAAAAGCCATTCCAGGCCGGGCACACTGCAACTCGCCGGTGGCACGGCCAGCACCGGCGCAGCAATCCTGTTTCCCACACACAAAATAATTGCCGTGCCCGGCAGGGTAATCGAGAGTGGCAGTGGGCAGTGACCTGGTTAAAGCGGCTCCCGTGATGAGGCCGGGGCGTCCGGCTCCTCCGCCAGCAGGAGGGGCAGGAGCAGGGGGAGATGGCACGCCAGCGGTCAGGCCTGGAGCATCCCACACGTGGCGCGAGCTGTGCCTGTGCTCTGCAGCGCGGCACAGGGCAGCACAGGTCTCGCACAGGGAGAGGGTGCTTGGGAGCAGAGCGGCATCCCGGAGGAATGGAGCACCCCTGAAAATTTGGCTGGCACAAGGAGCCGGAGAACAGCTTTGGGGAAGGAGGCCGGGCTGGCAGACGCCTTCGCTGCAGTGATGGAGAGTCAGTTTCTCGTTAAAAATGACAAAGGCTCAAGCAATGAGCGTTAAAATAAATAAAGTGTAGGTGAGCCGCGGCAGCTCGCCCGCGCGGGTGTCGCGTAGCAACCGGGAGGCACTGCCACCGCCGGCATCGCTGGCACGGGCACGGGGAGCCAGGCAGGGAGCAGCCGCGGTTCGACAGTGGTGGTGGTGAATCGCGGGCTGAGCCGAGTCAGGGCATCTTCCTTCCACGCCGCCACGTTATTGCCCAACATCTGGAGGCGCGGACACTCCGCCCCCAACCCTGCGTTATTTTGAGAACGTTTCACGGCGGGGAGAGGCTGCGGCCGTGGGGTGGCGGCGGTTCAAGGCCCGACAATGGGGGGTTGCGGCAGGGAGGGGATGGCACCAGCCCCCTCCCAGCCATTGCAGAGGCACAGCCGGGGTCCTTCCGGAGCAGCACATCGCTGCTCCCGGCTTTCCTGTCCAAAAGCGTCTTGCCCGGTCGCCCGACGAAGATCGCAGGTATTGGGGGAGGCCAAGCCCCCGCTGCCTCTGCGGGAAGGAGCATCTGCCGCGCTGTGCCACGGTCTTCCCATCCCGTCTGTTTGCACGGAGCATCCCCCTGCGCCACTGTCCCCCTGCAGCCGCCAGCGGGGACCCCTGAGCCCATCACCCAGCACCTGGGAGAGGATGGAACCCCCGTGTGCTCCTCCCCCGG